CAAGGGTCATGGGGCATGCTGGAGCCTATCCCAGCTGTCTTCGAGCAGTAGGCAGGGGACACCCTAAACCAGTTGCCAGCCAATCGCAGGGAATACAGGGACGAACAACCATCCGCGCTGACACTCACACCTAGGGACAATTTCGAGTGTTCAATCAGCCTGCTATGCATGTTTTTGGAATGTGGGAGGAAACCGGAGTACCCGGAGAAAACCCACGCCGGGGGAGGCCGGAGCTGGAATTGAACCCGGTGCCTCTGCACTGTGAGGTCAACGCGCTAACCACTGGACCACCGGACCTCCCTCAAATTGTCATGTGTAATAAATAAGAAATGAGATTTTGCAATCATTTAGTTACCCTGTTTACACTCACTTGAACAATAATTGAACAAACTATGTTTGTGGTCTCAACTGTCATAGAACGGCCCTCCGAGGAAAGACGTAACTCCGAAGTGCCCCGAGACACAAAATGAGTTTGACACCACCGACTTCAAATATTTCAGAGAAGCCGTTTTTGTTACTCGCCAAAACAGAAAAGAAATAAGGAGAAGAACATACACCTTTCATACGTAAGTAGAACAAGTAAAAAGTCTTCAGGAAAATACTCAAGTGAAGTACAGATACCTGGAAAAAAAATCTACTAAAGTAGTTCGGTGCTTTTTAACTCCCCACTACTGCAAAGACGGCCCCAGCTTAACATGGCGGCCTATTCACAGACGCGGGGGTGCTATTAGGCTAATTGCGCTAAGAGCTGTCTGTGGCTGACATTAAAGGTGAGCTGAGGTTAGCGCGCTAATTGGCCGCCAGTGGAAATAGAAAAAGCTTTTGGCCATCTGGTCGTGTCCTCTGTCGGGGGGGAAAACAAAGGGCAAAGACAAATATAGAAGATGTTTAGTGAGCTCATCTCGAAGCAGCTGCCTGTCGTGCGTGTGTTGGGGGGAATACTATACTGTTGTTTTTGCCACACACTGAATCAATATCCACACACACACACACACACACACACACACACACACACACACACACACACACACACACACACTTCAATTCCTGATTTCAGGAATTAGTGAGTCCTCGATACCTTGAAATACGGCCGGCGTTGGACTGATAACGGTACTCACCCATCCAGACCGAATTTCATGTTGCGAAGTGAAACTGTCTTTGGGCGCTGAATTAGCCCGTAACGTAATTCTGCGATTCTTATGTGCAAGTGCAGAAAAGATGAGTCATCAAAATTTGCCACCATGCTCCGCTCACAAGTAATGGTGAAAACCCCAATGTTTTGCAAGTTGGCGTCATCCATCTGTCTAGTGTCCATGCTTCCAATTTTGTCACAATCCCAAGAATAATTCAAAATTTGGCTTTGTAAAATCCTTGGATAATGACCCTAAAATGGTCGTTTCAAACCAAAATGTCACATTTCTTTTGTCTTGTTTTTTGAGACTTTTTTATGCTTCTACTCATGATGGTTGTTTACCAAATTCCATGTTACTAAGCGAAACAGGCATCGGGGACCGAATTTTCCTAAAAAGCCATTTTGCAATGGACAGAAGAGGCCCTGCTACAATCTTGATTTGGCCGCATCCTTTTCGATGGAGATTCCCGTCTTATGGAAGTCATCCAATTTGTTGTCAGCGCTGCAGAGTTGTGAGATTGGCGCGACGGAGGATGTGCTCACCAGCTGTGAGATTAAGGGGAACTGATCGATGGCCCTCCTGATTGGCTGGCGCCACGTCCCGCCAACCATCTCGCTGAAGGGGAAGAAACATGAAGGGACTTAAATTAGAAACACAAGCAATGCATTACGGAGAAAGCAGGGGGAAGAGATGATAGTTTTGCATTAAATGTATGTTGTTTTGTTCTTAATCACGTCTTGGTTTGTGCACCAGTTTGTCCCTGAAATTACATGTCAATCAAACGTCATGTGGGCAGATCACTGATGTGTTTATCCGGGAGGAGATTTCTCAAAGGATTTAATGTTTTGGATAGAAAAGAAAATGTATAACAAAATGTATGACAAATCTAGGTCAGTTTAATAAATAATAAAATATATGTTTTATTTTTCTCAAATTAATATTGTTTGATTTTTATCAACCAAATTTTTAAATGTTATATATGAAAATTATAATGAATAAAATTAGCTATTTTTCCATAACATGAATCGTAAAAAAATCCAATGTTTTTAATTCTATTTTATCGATTTTTTTTTGTATTTTAACATTTTATTCAAAATTATCTTCCAGCAAATATTTTTTTTGAAATGTATTTTTAGTTTATATTAATTGTATTCAATGTTTTACATATGACTTACACTTTAATAAATAATCACAACTCGTGCAACTGTAAGTCAGTCCCATACCTGGAAAAATAATTATATTATTATTAGTTATTCGTCAAAAATGTTGACGTTTTATTTATTTATTTATTTATTTTTATCAGTTGTGAACGACAAATAAACACTGCTGTGTTTTAAAGCTAAATTCTACATGACTGATTTATATCATAAAATTTCCTACAAGTGGTATAAAAATAAAGTTGTAAACTGAAACAGCTCGCTAGTGAGTGTACCCACAAGTCTCCGCGACAGTTCACTTCGTCTCTCCTCGCTGCATTTAGACGGCTCACTCATCATCATGTACGAACTGTATGAGGTAAGAACAACGATGCTGCTGGACACTTTTCAATGTATAGGTCGACTTAAAGTGGTGTGAACAAAGCGTCAAAACAACGTTATGTTAGCTTCCGTGACTGTAGTGCCACCTACTTATATGTGTGACGTCATACGCCACGACAAAATCCGTTTCGATCCTAATTATTTTTCGTCTGTTTCCCCTCGTGTTATTCTGTTTGTGAAACAGCTTTAAAATTGAAACAAACAAGCCAGTTAAAAAAAAAAAAAAAAAGCTGCTTTTACGTCTTTTCTGTCATCTAGTGTCCAAACCGGTAGCCTACAGCTTGTATTGAGCTACAGTAAAGACCTTTTAACGTTCGTAAACAAGCGGACCAGAGTGCTTCTTGTCATATAAGGAGTCTGAGTGGACATTTTTCAATAATATTACACTTCTAGGTGGCAGAAGAGTAACTGACTACCGCCGATTTGAACTAAAACGACGACAAAAACTTTGTGTTTGGTGGGGAGGTGCATGCCGCCAGACGTTCTTCAAAACATTATTTGCATCTAGTTTACAAAATCAATCCAGAGCGACCTGTGGGTGAGGAGGATAGTTTGTGAGGATTTTGTAATAGTTGAACAGCCACAACTCGGGTTTGTGTAAAATATTAGCTTAGGCAGGGTGTCTTTTTAGGAAGTAATTTATTTTAATTTAAATACAACTCAAATGTCACTTTCAACCAAAGACCTCCACAAAGGATCGATAACAGTTGTCCATCTGTCCTGTGAAGCCACATTTTGATACTTTTTCCATCATAGGCTGCAAATGGAGATGCCGGGGATTGAACCCGGGACTTCATACATGCGAAGCATGCGCTCTACCACTGAGCTACATCCCCACTTCTTGCTGTGTAAGTTAAGTGACTCTCAGTACAGGCTACATTTTATTTACAGTAAAACCCGAGTGCAATTACAAACATTGTCAAGTGTTCTAAAACAGAAAATATAAAAAAGAATAATGTAATCATAGGATTAAGAGATATTCAGTTAAATGTAAAGGCACAGGTGCAATTTTCATCTTGTTTCATTTGGAAATGTCTCGAAACGTATCAGTGGTCCGTCGGTCACACCGACTTCCTTCTCTTTCCGAACACATTGTTGATCAGCTTGGCCATGGACTTGGACCCACTGTAGCGACGGCGGTCGGCGCGATACTTCAGGTGCTCCATCACCTGCCTGATTAGCTGCGTGAAAAGCCCGGCGATGTCTTGGTAGCTCTCGGCCGCTGACACTTCCTGGAAGGAGCAGCGGCTCTCCTGCGCCAGGCAGCGGCCTTCGTCCTCGTGTACCTGCCGGATGTGACACAGGTCCTGCTTGTTGCCCAGCAGACACACGGGGACACCCAGCGGCTGCCTGGAAAAAGAACAACACTGTCAGGACCAACGACAAACTCGGCAGTTGGTGATGACATTTGAAAGACAGATTTGTTGCTTCACGAAACACTTTCCCCGAAAAGGCCATCCGATATTTTTGGTTACCCTTTCAGTATTCAGAAGCAAACAGAACTTTGTTAATGTAATTGTTCATGATTTCAAAGGAAAATGGAGATGCTGGGGATTGAACCCAGGACCTCATACATGCAAAGCATGCGCTCTACCACTGAGCTACATCCCCACTGGCATAGTCATGTCACCCGACTCAAGATTACCCGTGTCTTGTGGGACAAATTCAGATTTTGAATTGAATGAAACGTGGTGTCCTTGTTGATTGTGATGGCAAAACGCAAAATCTGAAAATTTAAGATTGAGTGTTCTGCCATTACTATCAACAATGACACTAAGTTTCATTCAAGTTGAAATCTGGTTAAACCCCACTGGGTGAATTTGGCACTGATGGGGGAAAATGGAGATGCTGGGGATTGAACCCAGGACCTCATACATGCGAAGCATGCGCTCTACCACTGAGCTACATCCCCACTTGTGTGCCTGTTGATACCCTTTAACACCACATCAACTTTGTAACGCAGCTGGATTTCAAATGTCAGAGTCATTGACACAAAAAGCATGCATTGAGCCCCCACTGCTGGTTTATCGCTGTTAGGACTAATTTTCTATTAGACAGGGCTATGGCCCGCATCTCGAGACCTTTCAGCGAGAGTACAAAAACAGCTAAGAGGTACGTTTTAAGGATAGGCTCCGAAAGAAAGTCAACACATCAAGCCTCAGTAGGCCCGGGCATGGAAGCATTGGCATTCCAACCAGCTATTCCGGCATGAGGATCTGTGCGCAGCTTCAAAGGAAGTAGGACGGTGCTTTCTTAATGTTCTCTAAAGCTTTGAAGCACGTGCTGTTATCGTCTTCAAACCTTTCCTCCATATTTCTGTAGGAAACCATTTGTCAATGATGATCGGACACAAGATGATTGCACTAATCTCTATTCATGTTTGATCCAGCGTCTTCAAAACTTTTAAGATGTTTGTCCAAAAACGCCATTGATTTGTCAGGGGGATCCGAAGGACTTTGAAGGAGAATGCAACCATTTTAGATTGAGTTGAGATGAAAGAAAAATCAGATGAGTTATGAGTTAGAGGGTGGCGGACAGGGCTTCTGACCCTTTGCATTGGTCCTGCTGGCGGGCCTCACGGATCTGCCGCAGGATGTTCTTGGCGTCGAGGAAGGAGGTGCGGTCGCTGATGTTGTAGACCACCACAAAGCCGTCTGCCCACGCCACCGGTTCCTCCAGTACACACTTGGCCTCCGAGCGCTGACAACAAACAACACAAAATGGATAGAAGTGCTGAGCCCATTTGAACTTCTTTGCTCACCAAAACAGAAGCGCCTAGAGAAATATATAAAAACCTTAGATGCATTAACTACCGTATTTTCCGCACTATAAGGCGCTTCGGAATATAAGGAGCACTTTCAATGAATGGCCAATTTTAAAACTGTTTTCATACATAGGGTGCACCGCATTATAAGGCAAAGAGAATAGAAGCTACAATAGTGGCTGCAGTTGCATTATGCATCCACTAGATAGAGCTACGCTAAAGGGAATACAATACAATACAGCTTCATTTATATCGAGCTTTCACAACCGCTGCAGCTGTAACAAAGCGCTTTACAGATCATTTCAAATACTTGGGCCAAGAAATCAGAATATTGATCCATATATGAGGCGCACCGTCGGCTTATGAGAAAATTGAATACTTTTGGGTGTGCCTTATAGTGCGGAAAATACGGTCATCTTAGCAGCTCTGCGTAGTAACAAAAGACAATTTTTTCCGTTATATGGAGACGTCGTTCACAACAATTACGATTCAAATACACTTGGACACGAATTCGCTTCAACAATCTCATGTGGGTGTGGATTTTTTTTTTTTTTTAAGATCCCGCTTTATCATGACATAAATCGTAATATATTGCCACCACTGTTTAATATTAATCTTAATAAGATTTGCTTTCCTCATCCTCAATAAAAAGGCAACTGCACGAGGGTCCGCAGTTGTTTCCAACACTGTTTGTGTAACCTTCAGGGTGATATTCAGGAAGGTCCCGTCCTTGAACCAACAAAACTGTGAAATTTACTGACTTCACGGCGTCTTTGTGCTCCAACGGATGGGACAATGTTCTCAGAGCCTGGGGCCATTCCAATAACACTTTTTGTGTGTGTGTGTGTGCGTGTGTGTGTGTGTCTTCTCTTTAAAGAGGCAGCACATGGCCTTGGGATACTCGCATGGATCGCTTCGGATTCACTGTTGATGACGTTTTGGCTGGATAAGGTCAATACCAGGTCTGCTTATGTGAAACGCAGCGAAAAGGATTTCCATCCAGGCTGGATGAATTTTAGAATATGTTTCAATCCCCTCAGTGGAAAACAACCTGGGTCTCGTCCACTTGGCAGGTTTTTTTTTTTTTTTTTTTTACCCAATTTCAAGAAATATGTACTGGTTGAGGTTTGGCGTCTCACTCCAGAAAATCAAGTGGTGGCATATTCAATTTCATTTTGTGTTTCACGTTGGAAAATGAGTAAGTTACCGTCGCTAAGTCCAGTCTCGGCAGAAGGGTGCACGGTTTGCCTTTTGAAGACATATACAGTATGTGCATCATCGCCATCTAGTGGGCCCTCATGCATATTCTTCTTCTCCTTTCGGCTTGTCCCTTTTCAGGGGTGACGCCAGGAAATCAGGTTAAACAAAGACGCTCAGATAACATAGCATATGAAACAGAGAGCAACAAACAAAGATGCTAAGCTAACATAGCACACAGATGGCGGCGCAAAAACTCAAACCAAAGCAACGTTGGAGACGGAAGGCTGCGCGGTATGTCTTGGAGGTCACGCCATGAAGTCAGGCAAAACATTGATTCGAACATTCATCCATTCGTTATCTGAAACGGCTTTAAATTAGCATACAAAACCGGAGAGTCACAAACAAAGATGCTAAGTAAGTGTTAAAGACGGATGGCAAACGCGTGGTACCTGTGAACAGGGATCAAACACCTCCAGGTTCAGATGCCTGCCATCGATGGACAGCCTTTTTCGATACAGAGAATCTGCGGTGACAGAAACAGACGGAACGCTCTTTCATACATGTTCAGGGTATATCAGTGCAATCCCTAGATACAGTCAAATCAAATATGGCAGAACTTGCACAAATCTGCATTGAGAACATACCGAATCGCACGCAAGCGCAGTACGAGCAGACTCAAGTTTAAAAAAAAAAAAAACAAGAAACAAAACAAAGTGATGCATACCTTTCAGTCCTACAAAGTAGACCGCGAAGAAATTGTCCCATATTGTTTTTATTTCACCAATCCCCACACTATGTGCGCACATATGTTTGTTTTTTCTGCTGGCAGTGCATGATTTTTCAGTGGTTAACTTTCTGCAAATATGACACTTACAGAATATACAAACTTTGCTGGAGTTGCTCCTTGAGAAAATGTTTTTCAGCTCGTGCCAGAAATGGCTCGGCGTTACGGCCTTAAAATAAAACAACCTCTTCTGCTCTTCGCGAAGAGAAAAAGCAAATGTCAGCGTCAACTCACTGGTGTCGGACGCATATTCTCCAATGAAGCGTCTGGTCAGGAAGCGCACGAGTACAGCTGGACAAAGGAGACGTAGAGAAACGTCAGCGCAGCCGTTATGCCGGGGAGATTTTCAAGTGGGGGCGGGTGGATTTAAGGGGGGTGGGGAATGAACGTCAAGACGGTGCCAACGGTCGCTGCGAGCGTGCGGGTGAAAGCCAAGCCTCACATGAAAGAGGCGACTGGAAGGCCTGTCAGCTTTTTCTGCTTGTGGGCCAACTTTGCGGCTTTGCACAGCATCGCTTTCAATTAGCAGCTCAAGTGCTGAGCGATGTTCGTGCTCCTCTGCGGACACAACGTTAGGCACACCTGCAGCGTCCAAAGGGCCGTTCATTTATTCATCCCTTCATTACTCTCGTCATTTTTGCACCGCAACATGGTGAGAACCGTTCCCAATTATTTTGACCCACTCATGATATTGAGTGTGGTAACCAATTATTATTTTCATTTCAATACATTTTTCACAAAAGAAATCAAATATAAAGTAGACGATGATAAACCATAGGCTCTTGCATGCCCGCAATCCTCGCGAGGATAAGCACTTCAGATAAAGGATGGATGGATGACCATAAACAAAAGCAAAATTGGTACTTTTCAAATTAATATTCCATCATAATCATAAAAAAATAATTCACTTGTGGTCAATTTTTAATGAACATAAAATAATGAAAACATTTCAACAAAATTTAAATTGTAAATCCTAGAAACACTGAAAAAATAAACAAGCATTATCAGCATACAATAATTATTCTAAGATGCTGTAAATTTTTTTTTTGTAATAACCAAATGAAAAATCGTTTACCCAATATACTTGTAATGAATTTGACAACAATCATCAGCAGAGGAAAAAGTTTACAGTTGGAAGATAGTAAACGGGATACATTGCCATCCTTTTACGAATATGCATTTCTGGTTTCTAAAGTGTTTTACTTTAAATAGTAACTGTACATGAAACCCTTCTCAACACAGAAGCTTACCTGATTTTCCAGCTCCTGGACTTCCCAGCAGGGCCAACTTGATGTCGTTCATGTTTGCTCTTCTGCGTTGGTTTGATTTCTTTTAACTATGGCATGTCTCAAAACAGGAGGGAGTCGAGAGGAGGGAAATCAAGCGCTCTCCTCCCTTCCTTGGCGTTTCTTTAATTCTCTCTCTCTCTCTCTCTCTCTCTCTCTCTCTCTCTCTCTCTCTCTCTCACGGTTCAAAGTTGGAGGATTCACTGTGCAAAAGATATTGTGAGGTCACGGTCATCGTTTTTTGGAACTTTAATTGTTTTTCTTTCGGCGAGTGAATGGCCTTTTGGTTGGCCTCAACATTCCCGAAAACTCACCAATTTTGGCAGGCATTCGTATTTTGGTGAAAAGGCATTTTCCAAAAAAAAAAAAAATGAAAATAAAAAAGATTTCTCATTGCACACACTAGAACATATACAGTATGTGCATCGTCGCCATCTAGTGGGCCTTCATGCATATTATAGCCTTTTAAATTGTTTTTTGCAAATGAGAAGACAATGACCCACATTTCATTTTTGTCTTTCTAAGCTCCCATTTTTTTTTTCTCAACAGAACTTGGAATTTCACATACAGTATGGACATCAAGTCTTTCTTCCTCCAGCTTATGACTTCCTACTTGCTCCAGACTTCATCAAAGTCACGTCCAAGCAAAGTCCGTTTTATTGATCGCCACGTCAGGCTTTTGTCGTAAAAGTTAGTTGGGAGCATCCGTCACATTACCCAGACACGCATTGGACGAGAAATCCCAACGGGTGGCACGAGCAGCCTATAAATCCCCCCCCACAAGCCTTTACATTTTACATGCACTGAGCGTCGACCAATAGAATTCTTGTTCCTGTGACTAAAAACACATTTTTCTTTCTGGCTGACCTCCATTCCCGGTACTTTGGACTCTTTTCCAAGTTTTCTTTTATTGGTGCAAGGTTACAGTTTGATCCCTTTCAAATGATTCCAACCAGGATCCAAACAGTACAGGAATATCATTGATGAAAATCAAGCTCATGGTTTTGTGTTTGCGGCGATTGCGTTGCCCACGCTTTCTGGCTATTCCATGTAAACAATCATGTTCCACATTAGTCCGAGCATCAGGAATTCCGTCAGTCAATTACGGGCTCAATCAAGCAAACCTCATTCGCCTTTTTTGGATGATCTCTCTCGTTCCCGTGTTGACTTTATCGAATGCTTCAACGGGATTTGCATACCCGAGTCAAAAAAATGGAATGAAAATGTCCCGACTTGTTTACGGAGTGATGTTCTCTTCATTCAGCAGTGTTTAGAGATCACTTATACGCTTGCATGAGGCCAGCTAATTAAGCCCAGAGAGTTCTTTGGTCAAAATGAGGGCCACACTGAAAAGTGAAAGGTTGAAAAAAAAAATGTGTAATCCGATTCCATATTATTATATTTTCTGTGTTTTGTGGGGTGGGTTGTAATCTTAGCAAAATCGTCATTTTCCAGATAAAAAGCACCATAATTTTTAATGTGAGAATTAATTTATTTTCCAAAAAAAAGTCAAAACACTGAAACTCAAGAGAATAAAGTTGTATAGTTTTGAGCTTACAAGAAAATCGGACACTTTCGGGATGAAGTCTAAACAATTTCCAGAAAAACTCTTTTCAAGCGATCGCGATCTTAAAAGTCATACGTTCGAAGAGTATTATTTTTCAAGATATCGTCCCTAGGTTTTGAGAAATTCTTTCAATTTTCAACTTAAAAAAATGCATGTTATCAACATGATTTTCTGCATTTTTTCGAACAAAAAGAAGTTATATATTTTCAAGACCCCAAAAAAAGTCTTATTTTCCAGAAAGAGTCATCATGAATAAAGTTGGACATTTTTCCCTAAAAAGTAATCAAGCACACACCGGGAAAAAAAATCCTGCAAACAACACATTGGCAGAGTGGTTACATCACGCGTGCAGCCAGGAATCTGACTGGCACGTTTTTTGTGTTTATTCTGCTCAAAAGGGTTAATCTGCCACGTGTGACCTCCAGAGCAGAACAAAAATATTCCGTATATGTGTTCAAAAATCAACTCTTTATCCCCAAATTTGGGCACGCGGGGGAATTGGTTTTCTTTTATTTCTGCATTTTTATTATCCTTGTTATAGCGCAAGTCTCCAATTATGATTTTTTTTTTCTTAGCTGGCAGACAGACAGATGCGGCGTCCAAGTTAAACATCCCCCATTTATCCCTCCTCTTAACGCCGCTTCTCAGGGAGGAAATGAGCAGGAGTGACCCTGAATGACACGCGAAGGAGGAAGAGTGAACCTCCTCTTCCTCTTCATCATCTTCCTCATTCAGCGGCCACACTCGTTCTTTTGAAGTCCGAACAGAAAACATTCCAGGTCCGGAAGAAATGGGATGGAGCTGTTTACCGGATGGAATAAAAGCAAGTTGAGGCACTCGAGATAAAAACAAAAAAAGAATTTTATGCTCTTCAAATGTATCTGAACATGATCCAACAGACCCTTAAAAGCCCCGCACGCGCTTCCCCTCCTTCGTGTTCTTCTTCTCTGATCTGAGGGCCAGCGTTTACAGATTTTGTCTTATCAGAACACTTTCTCCACCGGAATGGCTTTTCATGGCTCTTTTTTTGTGACAAATGATCTTACGTCCAAGTAAATTGTTTGAAAAGCGACCAAAGGGAGGAAAGAAAATTAAGCGGTTGAAAGAAAAACTGGAAAAGCAACGTTTGGGACCATTTTAGTTTGCCAGGTTGCGATGCATTATAATATTTTGTGCTTTGGCACAGTCGTGCGTGTGTTTCTATTTTACATTTTTGGAAAATTACAAAAATGTTATGTTCTGGCAAATTAAAGTACAATACAGTGTGCTAAGATATTTAAGTTACAATGTTATGATTTGATACATAGCAAATTGACAGTATCATACCTTATGCTATAAGTAGGTTTTATGCGATCAGAGAGTTTAGAAAAGAAACACACAAAATAATGATACTCAATATATCGTTTTAAAGAACTTATTTACTGGCAGGGGACTTTTGCTCAAACTATTGCCACCTTGGTTCAACAGCTGCAAAACAAGTCCAAACACTTCGTTACCAGCTACGCCAAGAAGCCTACTGCTCGTTTTTGGAATGCTATGTGACGCCAAAGTAAAATATGATACGAAACATTACAATAACATAGCATACAGTTAACAGAGAAATATGCTAAAATGTTACAACACATTTTAAATGAATGATGACACGATACAGTACAATAAATCGCTAATTGAACGTATATGCTAACCTGCGCTACGATAAAGACATACGGTGCTTACTTACAGTACATTACTCAACATATTTTACATTCTGTTATGCTACACGACGCTAAGACGCATTGTGCTAACTTACAATATGCTACGATAGGATTAATCAAGATGCTTTATGATAACTGCATAAGACGCGTACGATATAGTAGTGCTTATTACTTTACGAGTCATGTCTCTTCCTCCTTCCTCCTCCCTCCTCTTCCTCACGGCGCCACCGCAGGCGAGCTCGCTCCATCCTGTCCTGGTTGGCCGACGGGAAGGTCCTGTCGGGGAAAATCTCCCTCAGTTTGCTCAGGAAAAACACCTCCAGGTTCCGACCGGCCCGGGCCACCTCCGAGTCGGGCTGCGGGCAAGCCGGAGCAGAACAGCGAGGTCAGAGAGCCTGTTTCATTTATGTGACTTCAACATCACACCGCTAATGAGGCCCTAATTACTTGACTTTTGAAGCACTCGCGCTCGAGGACTCTAATGAGAGCTGATATGTGTCCTGAAAGTCCCTTCCAATACATGTGATCCTGCAATGCGGTATGCTATGATGTGCTAAAATGATGTGTGGGACTTCCTCTCCATCATAAACGCCACAATTCAAGAATTCGGCTTTGCGAATACGGACTTACATAGTTAAAGGTAGCACAGTTCTTGAGCATGAGCAGGACGTCGTGGACAAAGAGTTCTGGCATGAAGTAGTGCAGGGTGTTAGTCTTGTCCAGCTTCCTGCGGATCAGCGACAGGTCCACGGGCCTCTTAATGACCTGGTAGTAGTTCCTCGCCTGAAGCACAGCCAACAGACCACTTCAATGTCAAGGAAAAATGTGAGACGGTGCTGGAAGAGTTCAAGGTTACCGACCAGGCGACTGACGGGCTCATGGAAAGGAGCGCTTAGCGGGTGAACGTACAGCAGTAATGTCAACTTCTCACATCTCTGTCGAGAGGAAAAAAAAGAGCGCAACACAACTTTTAGAAGTGGAATAAGTTGCAGTAAAATACAGTGAGGGTGATACAATACCGAACGCGACTATACATTATGATCAATTACAATCCAACGTTACGCTTTGGTACATTTTGACGAATTACGATAAGATAGCTAGCTTACAGTAAAGATACATTGCGCTGCTAATTATTTTGAACATGTATAATTTGCGACAAGAAAAAGTGTTTATGACCATTAAAACTGTTGCAGGACGTCTAACAAACGTCTCTGTGACCGTTGGTGGCCTTCAATGAACCCTGATGAAGAATCGACATTCACTGTTATGGTTCTGTTCCGTTGGTGACCAACAGGTGTCATGTCCTGCGGCCACCACTGGGCGGCATTAGGAGGTGTGGGATCCGACCGTTGACTGTTATGGTTCTGTTCCGTTTGTGACCAACAAGTGGCATCGGAGGGCTCCTCCTCCAGCGTCGCACCTGTTGGTCATCATGTTATAAGCTTGTTCGGTGAAAAGGACTGCCACACCGACCACTCCGCATCGGATTGTTGTTTTACTGTCCAGGTATTTTTGTTGGTTGTTCCTTTGGTTTATCGGGGTCTTTCAGGACTTTGTTTTTCTTAATACATTTGGTTCAGTACACTTCTCCTGTCTCCCTGCTTTTTGGTGCTCTATCCATCACGCACAATCATGACAATTCACTATATTCACAAACACTGGCCACTCAATGGGATACGGGCTTATACATTATAAGTGAAATTCAATATGTTATATTTGAAGATGGTACGCAATTGTCACCCTCTGGTCACGGTGAGACAGAGCATAGGGAACGTTGACTCCCTCGCGGCGGAAGTTCTCAGCTGGGTCGTGGTCAGTCCTGCACAGTGTACATGTCCAGTCACCCCTAGAGGACAGCAGGGCCTCACTTTAGAATACTGGCGCGTTTGCATTTTAGAAATTCTCATTAGAAATACAGTAGTAGCTGTCTAATTCCAGGTCAAGATGTAAAATTCTTATTGAACTGCTTTAGGGCTTTCTCTACTCAGGTTACCATCTTGCAATAAATTAGCATCCCAACTGTTAGCATTTTAATGATTCTGAGATGTACTAGCAATCAATGGTAGTCTTGCTACAGTATTTATGTGAGCTCTGCACATGTATTACAAGTAGTCCCTGACCTAAGGACAAGATCCAAAGTCCTTATTGCTCTGCCTTGGCATAGCCTACCAACTGTTTGAATGATATCAGTTTTTATGAAAAATAACACCCAATTACAGGGAAAGCCAGCATAGCCTACCAACTGTTTGCATTTGATCCGTTTTTTATGAAAAATAACACCCAATTACAGGGAAAGCTGTAAAATCATTGTCTATCTGGTTTTTGTTGCTATCTTGCTGTATGTTAGCGTAGCAAATTAGCATGTAGGGATTTTATCGGTTCTGAATGAGAAATAGTAGCCAACTACGCACGTTGGGAAGGTAAGCAGTGAAGGAAGGTGACAGGCCAAGTGGTAAACTTTGGGACAAAGATCACAGCACAACAGATCTCCTCCGTTCAGACACACGGCGCAGAAGTCTTCGCTCTCCGTGTCCTTGCTCTCGCCTCCGCCGTTTTGGAACGCCTCCTGTGTTGAAGGTGGCTCGACACATTTTGATTCTTGTATCTGATCTTCTGGCTCTAGATCAAGCACCATGATCATCTCCCGGTCCGGATCCAAGTAGAAAGTATCCGGGTCAGCCTTCCCGGAATGAACAAGGATGTATGCTGCGTTCGGATTTGGAGAGTCGTCAGGTTGAAGTGGTTCCACACAGGATGTTGTTGTGCTGTCATCCTGCCAGAGGTGGGAGTTTGTCACATATGTGCAAGTCAGAAGTAAGCCTTAAGTATTAAGTCCCGCCGCAAACCGAACAATGCGACCGAACGTGAATGAACTATCGAGCAGTGTGACGGATTCTGCAACTAGCTTTCTGCAACATATTCCCTCATGTGCAAGTCAGAAGTAAGCCTTTAAGTATTAAGTCCCGCCACAAACCGAACAATGCGACCGAACGTGACTGAACTATCGAGCAGTGTGCCGGATTCTGCAACTAGCTTTCTGCAACATATTCCCTAACAATCTTCAACAGGCAACACTTGTAGTAGTTCCAAGTCATAATTGGCATTAAGTCTGTCTCGAGTCAAGTCATGTGACTCGAGTCCCCCACCTCTGTCTCTCGGATCTCCATAATGTCAAATGCATTTGAATTGACTTCCTCCTGAAAAGAAAATCACCATCAACAATCTTTTCCTGGCATGAATCATCGTTATGCTTGTTATGCTTCATTTTTGCACCCGCCAAGGACAATCCGAGCATTCCTCAGAGAACTCGGCTCGCTTTTGGCACGGCAGTCGCATCAGGGAAACAAGCGGCTGCAAGTTCAGGCGCTCCAGTCTCACAACAGCTTTAGTGGAATCATGCAGAACCCACTGGACGTCCGGCTGGATCCTGATTGGACAGCCAGAAAAAGTGATTAGAATTTAGCAACTGTTTCCCTGAAACATCTTCTGGAGAATTCCCTTGTACAAAATCTCAATTTTAATGTTTGTTTCGCTACATTATAGAAATACGTAAGACATTCACCACACCGACATGTACTCAATTCTAACCTTCCCCTAATACAAAAAAATGCAGATCAAAAATGTGTTATAAGCCCACAAAGCTTTCTTTGACAACGTGGGGCAGAGGGCCTCTCTGGCCTGCCCCTTGCAGAGAATGAAATTGCTGTTCTGCGTTAACTTGAAAAGACAACGCTTACCACATCAACATGTGCCCAACATTCCCTTTTTTTTTTTTTATTACCTTATTTTGTTTAGCAAAGTCTTCGTGAAAATTTGTTTTTCACTGGACGGAGAAGCTCCATCAGTTTGTCGCCCTCTTTCCATACTGATTACCGGGCAGAAGCAAAAACAGGACTTAATATCATTGGATACTGTACATTAAAAACAATCTAATTAAGCTGAATATCTACTCACAAACAACCTTACCTGATTAGAATCGTGACAGACCGTGGACTGGTTTACCAGACTGGAGAAAAGGTGACAATGAGAGTACAGCAATGTCTGAAATTTATGTCATGGGGGAAAAAATACAGAAGGATTTGATTGGACGAAAGGTGAAATCCCCGCAAGCAAAAGTCTCCTGCTAATGATGCCTTCACTATTTCTCCAGGGCATTCCGTGCTCACAAACAACAGCCGCCGTGAGTGTACATTTACTGCTTCAAAATCCCGATGGACTGTTGTGACGCCAGCGGGTGCAGGTTCGGACACTCTAGTCTCACAACAGAGAGAGAGAGAGAGAGATATTTCCATCCATCCATCCATTTTCTGATCCGCTTTATCCTCACAAGGGTCGCGGAGGGTGCTCGAGCCTATCCCAGCTGTGTTCGGTCAGTAGGCGGGCTACACCCTGAAGTGGTTGCCTGCCACACATAGACAAACAATCATTCACACTCACAATCACACCAAGGGACAATTTAGAGTGTTCCATTAATCCGTCATGCATGTTTTTGGAATGTGGGAGGAAACTGGAGTACCCGGAGAAAACCCACGCAGGCACGGGGAGAGCATGCAAACTCCACACAGGAAGGCCGGAACCGGAATCGAACCCTACACCTCTGTACTGTGAGGTGGACGTGCTAACCAGTCGACCACTGGTCTGCCTAATAATAAAATAAATAAGAAAAAAAAATAATTTCTGCATGCCTTTCAGGGCTTTCACGGCACAAACAATTATGGCAGTTAAATACACAAGAGTTCAAGAAAACATTTTAAAAATATCTTTAAGTAACAAAGTAAAATTTGAGAAATAACTCAAAAAAATAACAGATTAAAAAAAAAAGGTTTCTCTTAATTTGTGTTGTCGTTTTTATGTGATATTTTCCAAACCGGCCGCTGTGGGTCGCTGTAGTTTATTTGTCGTCGAGTGCCAAATCTCACAGGAAACCGCGTGGTTTGGCAAATCCCGTTCCTCTCTCGATCAACCTCCAAAGATGGTAGGTGCTATCGTGAATGTTCTGTCTGGGAAATCCACATTAATCCATGTCCATCCTTTTCTTGAATCACTTACATGTGCCATTCGATGAATGCAAACAACACACGAATCTTGCCTTTTGTATTCGCGATGACTTATTATTGTGTGTTTCATGGTCCGGTATGTTAACACTTCACTGTGAGAGCTAGTCGGCCCTCTACGGCCGAACGCATAACTGCTAAATGAACTCACACTTTATTGGTATGTTCCATGTATGAAGCATTTAATTGTAAATGGTGTAGCGGAATAACAGTCACGGCCAGTGAAATAAACGCTAGTATTTCATGCTGGCTGAATGGAGTGTCTGTGTTAGCATTAGCCATTTAGCATACTTGGTGGTGGGAGAACTACTACTCAATATTCGGTTGTCGCTGTATTCGTGAACTTATGTGTATCGTTGAACATTTACACCTGCAAACGGCCTTGCTGACTGTACACTTAATTGTGATGTTAAGCTTCCCAAGTTGTCGGCAAGTTAATGAAATGTTAAATGATCATGATAGAGCGAGCGTGTTGATGTAAATTTCTTCTGATCTTTTAACAGCCGACTAAGAAGTCCAAGACCAGGAAGCTCCGTGGACATGTGAGCCACGGACACGGTCGTATTGGTAAGAACTACGCTCATTCATCTTGTGTTAATGTAAAAATTTGACAGGGTTGGAAGGACTTGACCCGCTTTTGTGATGTTCTTCCACAGGCAAGCACAGAAAGCATCCCGGAGGTCGTGGTAATGCTGGTGGCATGCATCACCACAGGATCAACTTCGATAAATAGTGAGTAAGCGATGTGATGGGGTGTCACCCATCGGTGACCTGCAAAAATGACTGAAAACTGGTGATTTAAAGACAAGTGGACATGCACTTTAATTCAGGAAGTTTATTCTAATCTGCTTTCGTTGTGTCAGGTAAGATAATGTCAACACAAATAAAGGATATCTAATCTAATCTAATATAAATTGTACATGTTGGAGTTATCAGTGCTGTTGTCCACTGTTTTATCGTCACATACATAGACCGCCCTACATTTGGACAATTTAATGCAAATTCATGGAACACTAAGTGCAATTTTTAAACACTGGCATACATTAGTGTGTAATGAAGCCATAAATCACACAAAAGTACATTCGTGTGTGAGGCTGTAGCATCAGAAACCTGTCAAAACCTGTCATTGTGTCTTAATTAATGACTGTGGTCGTTCTCAGCCACCCTGGGTACTTCGGCAAGGTGGGCATGAGACATTACCACCTGAAGAGGAACACCACCCACTGCCCCACCATCAACTTGGACAGGCTGTGGACACTGGTGAGCGAGCAGACCAGGCTCAACTACAGCAAAAAGCCCGACGGCCCGGCGCCCATTATCGACGCCGTGCGCCACGTAAGTCTCACCTCAGACTATTTATAAAGTTTTAATATCAATTGAGGATTTTAAAACTTTTTTTTTTAATCCCAAGGGTTACTACAAAATTTTGGGCAAAGGCAAGCTGCCCAAACAGCCGGTCATCGTCAAGGCCAAGTTCTTCAGCCGACGGGCCGAGGAGAAGATCAAGTCCGTGGGAGGAGCTTGTGTGCTGATGGCGTAAACACCTTGTCAGCGTTTTGAAAAAAAATAAAATTGTACAAATACACAAGTGATTGGTGACTTTACTTTTTCACGACCACCTCAAATTGGATTTACTTATACATTCTCAAAATTGACTTTTGATGTTTAAAAATGCATAGATCTTGAATCCCAGTGTTGTTCAATTGTGGCAAAAATGTATGTCTTTTTTTTTTTTTTTTGTGTAGCCGGTGAGTTTGATTTTGGTAGTTTGCATTTTTTGCTGTGAGCAGTCATCACATTTGTATTATTGGAATCTAAAAAGATACATTTCTGATTTCGGCACAATTGAAGGGACTAATCCAATTTTAACAACAAAATTAAAATGCAATATCGGGGTGTAATTTGTAAAAGGGGGACCAAAAATGCGGCCAAATGAGAAATAAGATTTGACTAATATTCATCATACTGACAGTGTTTTATACATTTCTGCTGTTAACTCTATTGCAATAAAAAATTACATATTTCGTGCTGACTTCGTGTACATCCTTAACACAGTGATAGTAATAACATAGTTGAGCAAACCAGAGTAATGAATTAACGAAGGGCATAAAATTGCCCCATCCAATATGGCGCACAAGTTGATCTCCGGTTGCTGAGGCAATGTGACTTCCGTGTTTTCATTTCCGGAAGGCGTGCCTTAAAAAGCGAGGGTTTCGCTTCTCCCTCGTTCTGTTCTGTTGTGTGGTGCGGAAAGTGTCATTTGTGAGGCTCAACGTGACGAGTCAAAGCAAGGTATTCTCTGGTCCAATAGTATGACACATACTGACGTTTGAAGTCACTCAAATCGCCCGATTTTATACGTGACCGCCCTTCGCTAATCGCATTATCTCGCGCGAGACTTCCTGACGCCGCGCTAAAGTGGCGCTGTAATGACATAATTTCTGCATACAAACTTACTAAGCTTGGGCGAAAGCCCCGCAGTTTAGTTTATTTGTCAAACAAATGAAAATTACCGAGACAAGGTTTACGTGGGGAAAAAGGACACGGCTAACTATCACTCCAAGCTAACAATCTCTGCATGTTGAGTTTTGGACAAGAACGAACTAATTGTTCAATTTGAGAGTCGACATTTTTGTGGTCTTTTTCTGGTGAGTGAAACCATGAAACCTACACAGAAAATCCATGTGAATCGCCACATGAACATTTTATACGTAACAGTTTTTTATGTACTTAAAAAATATATAATTTTTAAACTACTGCTGTAACCTCAATAACCCTTTTTGTTATCATTAAACGATTATCTTTTCTTGATTTAAACAAATTATTGCGCTCTTAATTCGCTCCAATTGAGTGAGTAAGTCCTCAATTTTTTTTTCACTTAATATGGTTACAAAAGAAAAAAAAATCGCTCCTCTTCTTATCATGTCACGAAACAAAAGTGATTATATAAATGAGTGCCGTTTCCTCCTCACAGGTGAGCCTGTTTTTCTCATGGCAACGCTAGCCAGTCTTGAACATTCTCTGCGACAGTCTGCCCGACGCGGACGAGAGGTTCTGGAGCGGGCCTCCAGGCGGAAGGTGGACTGGGGCGAGCTGCCGCACACTTACACTCCTGTGGCAGATGAAGACAGGGCCGTATACAGCAAAGTGAGGCCTGCTGACAGTGACAGACATTTACACGACAGTGTTTCTGGGGCACAGCTACTTGCGAATTGATGTCTTGCCCAAAAAACTTATGCTCTATTACAAAGGGCTATTATAAAGGCCCTTCACAACCCATAAAAATGCAAATGACTACTTTCCCCTCAGCCATTTTATTACCGGCTTCTGCTGCTGTTTGCCATCAAGCCGTCTGGTTATCAGCTGTGGCCGAACGCTAGCTACTCCTCCAAGAACAGCCCCTAAGGAGGAGCGGTGTGTCTGGGCGCTGCCTTACAGAAAAGGCATGAACATGTGCAGATAGGTGTGAATCATTACCATTTTTCTGGTAATATTTCATGTTCTATAGAATGCCTATTTGTGAGTTTGCAAGGGTTCACTGGAGTAGTAAACTGGCTGACAAGTGCAAGACACTGTATCAGTTTACATCTTTACTCGGTGCTCCCTTTTTGTAACACAGCAGTTACAGAAGGTGCAAATGATCACAAAAATTGGGTTGATAGCGGCTCTTGCTGAGAGTCTGGGAACATAACCGAAAGTACAAACTTACCCCCCCCCCGTCCCCCCGCCCTCGCAAAAAAAAACAAAACAAAAACTGCAATATATGATGGCAAATCTGTTTGTTAGCATGTGAAGCTGACTTAGCGGTCTCCATCTCCACTCAATGTTCCTTGTCAAGCAGCACAAACAAATGTTGAACTCAACTACACCACACGTGTCGCACAAGACCCAAATCAAAGTAGTTTGTTCTCAAAAAGTTATCTCAAATGCATGTATTTGTCATTTTCAGAAAACAATGGAGGAACTTCAGGAGGCCTTTTCCACCATCACTGAGTTCATGGCGGAGACTCACATTCATTGCAAAGTCTGTCACCTAATCATCCCCACACTCTCCAAAATTGGTCTTCATCAGGCTCAATTGTGTATATGTGTATTGCAGAGGTTCTACGACTCTGTAGGATGCTCTCAAGGTTCCAACATCGAGAAGAAACATGTGCCTCGCTACCATAAACACATCGGGGCAACCAAGATTGAGTCCTCATCTCAACTCAGGCAACATGTGAGTACAGCATAGTTTAGCATAACACCGGTACCGTGGCATCTTTTGAAGCATTCAAATGAAATGCGATGCTTCCCACCATCTGTCTTTTAACAAACAAGCAATAAATCTGTATTACAATTACATTAGATATATTATCCATAAATGTTTTGGTCTTATAGGTTGGCCTTACACTAAAATAAAGGCACATTAGCAATGAATTAATATTAAAGACCAGTTTATCTACTTCGATTACAGTTGTGAACTCATGGATCACTTTGACTTGCAGTTTGTTAAGTGTTCACTGCAACAACTTCACGATATTCTGCCAAACCAATGTAGCGTAAAAATAAATCACAGATAACAAAATGCAAACAAATGTATGGGTTCATCTTTTCACCAATTCATGTTTCATGAAACAATGGAATGTAAATGTTTTAATTTAGAGCCACTTTTGGTTCAGGCAGGGCCACCCCAAAGTGCTTAATATCGGACCCTGGACACATTTTTTTTTTCCCCAAAATGCTGTGCTATGAAAAAACATCTCAATTATGATCACAAATTTACATTGTTTATGAGTTGCCGGTTTTAAAGCATCTATAGGGACAAATAAGGTCACTAGAGAGTAGTTTTACAATTTATTCACATAGAAAGTTGATTTTTTAAGCAAAATGGGAAAAAAATGATGAATAGTGAAAGCTACTGAATTAGTTTTTACTCAACAGCGCAACAAATGCAGAACACAATATTGAGCTACAAAAAAAAAATCCCTCAGGAAACATGAATGTTTTAAAATGTCAACATGATTTGTGAGTTATGAGCCTATATGCCTGTTAAACATAATTGCTACTTGTCAATGTGAATGATTGAAAGATGATGCATTTAATTCCTGCTTTGGTCCTGTGGAAGCAAGGCAAGTTGGTAGCTGCTAAACTCCCATTGTTTATATGGGCATGCATTTTTTTCATGCTTTCCACATTATCACTTGGGTGGGAGTTCATGACTGGAAATTTATGACTGGCAACTTCATTAATATCATATAATAATTGCTGTTGTTTATCCTTATTGGGTTTTCCTTCCTTTGTGCACGCTAACAGCCATCAGGCTTGGTACAGTGTGAGTGTCATTGAAAATGATGTGAAGGCTCTTTGAATGTGACCTGAGGCGTTTGATTCTCAATTTTGCTAGCCAATGTGTATTCATGGCACAAAAGTCCACATTTACATCCACAAACAGCGATGCAAAACCGCTTACTTGGAGACATGGACTCGTTCCAATGATTCAACAGGATTGTTGTGTTGACCGTTTTTGTGGACACATCTTGGCATACGGCTTTATTTACAGTTGTCCACATCGCTTTGAGGAGACCGCCAAGCAAACGACGGTGAGGAACTTCTCTTGTCAAAATTGCGTCATCTTTGGAAGATAGTCATAGATGACCGTCAAATGCGCGTTTAGCTGCATGTTCGGTCATACTTTACGAAATACCAAGAACCTCTATCATCATCTCAACTTTCTCCCCTGGTCTGAAGGGCCGGAGTCAAGGTCAAGGTCCACCGGACGACTTCTACATGGAGGTGGCTCCCGGATTGTACACCATCAGCGCCAGCCGGCCTGGCTCACAGCAACAAACCCAGATGATCGACCTTGATCCTGGGGATACTGTCAGCGTCACGTTTAACCTCTGAACCAAAACAATCCTGCGTGTATATATGATTATATCAGCCTCAATTTTTATTTTCTTATGTCAAAGTACTATTTTTTTGGTTGCCTCCATGTTTCTATCAACGTAAAACAAAACATCATGAACTCACAATAAAGTTTTTTAATTTAAAAAAAGTTATCTTGTTGTGTTTGTTGGGAGTGACAATCATGAGTGACATCATCGATGTTTAAACGAGGTCGCTCCGAAAATTATACACACATATTTGCTCTTCTCTCCGTAGAAACATGAAGCCAGTGGAACCGAGAGCTGTGATAGAAAGAAGCAGGCAGTGGCCGGTACAGAGAGCTGTGATTGGGCGAAGAAACGGGAAGTTAGTTGAACCCAGAGCTGCAATTGGAAGAAGCAGGAAGAATGTGGAACTGAAAACCGATTGGTCAAGAAAGCAGGAAGCGAGCACAACCGAGAGTTATTGGATTAATTAGCTGGAACCTTGAGCTGTGATTGAACAAAGCGGGAAGTGAGTAGAACCAAAGGCAGCGAGTGAACGTAAAATCACGAAGCAAGTGGAACTGAAAGCTTTGATTAGTAGGAAGTAGAAAGAGGGCAACCGAGAACTGTTATTGGATTGAGGGTGGAACCAAGAGCTGTGATTGCCCGAAGAAGCAGGGAGCGAATGGAAAGGAGCTGTGGTTGGATATGGAAAGCAAGACTTGACTTGAAATGATCGTTGTGATTGAGGTCGAAGCAATGAGTGGCGGTAACAGAGCTGTGATTGGATGAAAAAGCAGAAAAGCTGAGAGCCCCATCCTCCTCAGTGATGCCTAGACTGTATTCTAATAAATCGAAAATGAATCTTTTATTGTTAGGTATAGATCTGTTTCTCAGAAAACCAAATTGTGTCGCTTATAATGGAGGGTCAAACCAACTCTTAACCCGTCGGCACTCGCATGTAAACAATGCGCTCAACAGTCACTGACATGGTAGTGATATCCAAATGCTTTGTGGCTTTTCAGTTGGAACCGCATAGGCCAGGAACATTGTCTAAATGAAGGGGATAGAAGTCAGTGTAGGCACAAAATCTTCAGGCTTCTGGTAGAATGCAAAAACATCAGAAAAAAAAGCCCACAAGAACATATGACTTCATTTGGAATCATATTAATGATGGAAAAACTTATTTATTTTGGTCTCATGTGTCATAAAAAAGGGTGTTTAGATTTTTAACATCCACTACAGCTACATATTTACAGAATAATTGTTAGATCGTCATGTTAACAAAATAATTCCACTTAATTCTAATCATTCCATTGATGGTTGTCAGACTGCATTGCCCACATTGCTCTTCTCCAACTCGGCCTTGTTTTCAACATGGATGCCCGGCTAGCCTACTCGCGGGTCGCCAAACGACATTCGAGCGGGCCATCGTTCGCGGGGGGGATAAACCCCACACGAGACGTTTCCGCGTCGGGGTACAACCGTCCCACGCGTGTTCGACCTCTGGGGTGTCGTTTATGGGGCTATGGAATTGACGAAAGGTTTCGGGACAATACGAAGAACGACGCGGAATGGCGACTGTCAGGGGCCCAGGAACGTGTATGAGAATTTTATTTCCGCCCTCCATGCGAAGGAACAGGGATAGAAGTTGTTGACGCATTGTGTACTGAATAAGTTGTGGCTGGCGCCGCCATATTGGATGTGGTATAGACTGAGCCTGTTATTAATTTGTTTGGAAGACTGGCCCTTTTAAAGGCAGTAATCTGATTTAAGTTCCCTTTTTAATGCGAAAAAGGCAGGCCATTGCCGAGAAATTTGTGAAAATAAAGTTGTTCATTGTTTTTAAAGGTTAGGGTTAAAGAAATATACATTTCCCTCTTGCACTATTTCCCTTCCCAACGTAAATAGCAAAACAAAAACAAGTCATCTATTTGCTGTACAATCATAAAACAAACCTTGACCCTCAAATATATGATTTTGCTGTCATAATTTTGCAGGTAAAGCCGCCGCTTTTTTCAGTTTTTCCTGCAATTAAAAACAAACTCACGCACAAGACACATTCACAGCACACGGAAACACATACCGAACGCAAAAAAAAAAAAACTACCCACTAACAAGCACTCAACACAAACACACATTCACAGGAATACATAATGCACAAAAACAAAAAGACAAACAACGAACTGCACAAGACAAACACTTGCATAACGCAAATATACACAAAAACACAAACCGCTTTATATTTTCAGTCCTCGCTTTATGAAGTTAAAACCCCTCTTATTCATATTCGCCCCTTCTAATATGGCTGTAACGCCATCGTATTCTTGCTGAGTTGTAACGCCGCTGACTCAGAGTTGAGGTAAATATGTTATTGGGATAGACGTTCATTTCGGCCAATGGAAGACATCCTTTCAAGTGTCGGCCAATCGGAATGCGGGTAAATACGGAGAAGGCGGGCCATAGTCAGGAACGTCATGTTTTCATACACGTTCCGGGTGTCGAGTGTTTCCTGCACTGGTGCATGGTGGTCGAACAGGAGGAATTGTTGGAAATTTTTTCCCGAGGTTCGTATATAAATTGGTTTTTACCCAGTGTGCAGTATTCCCACTGCCGTCACCCAGCCAGAGGGTGTGGCTGTCCGCGGCCGGAGCTCATAAGACGAACGGAGAATGTCGTTTAATATCGTCGTGGATAACATTGACATGTCGACGACGGGCGAAAAATGCTTATGTTATCATTAATGAGCCCGTCTTGTCGACTTCACGCGAATAAGCGGTGGCAAGCTCAGCGGCTAGTCGTTGTTAGCTCACCTTTTAGCACTTGGGCTATCATCAAATGAGCATACGAGGGCTGAGTAGAGCACACTTAGTAGACGAGTTCGTGACAATATTCACGTTAAGCGGAAGGACGCCTTACAAAGTCGTGATAGCGCTTAGCTGCCGCAGTTAGCACGGATGCTAACTCCTCGATCTAAGTGTGCATTTAGGCGCTCTCAAGCGTGACAAGTGTTGAATAAAAGCAACTGCCACACTATATAGTGAAACATAGCTATACGTCCATATTCAAATGTAGAGAGTCAAAAGCAGCATAAACTAGTTGGTAAACCGATGAAATGGTTAAGTGTAAGCGTATGGAAGTTACAAACTTGAAAGGCTGAATTTTTAAGATGAGCCTCCATGTTATGAACGTCCATTTTAAGCACAGGTGTCCTTAATTGTGCTAAAACAGATCATTTAATACAATTTTCAAGGTGTCCCACAATTGTGGAGTTCTCTCATAATGTATCCTAAATCTTTTTGTTGGTTTATATCTTTGGAAGTATACAATCCCAACAAAAGAATCACCTGCACATAAAAATGTGATTCAATGTGATTTAATACAACTCCATGTTTTTATACTTACCACTTTCATTAAATTGTTTTCCAAATTACCCAACTTCCTATGGAAATTTACCAGACACTATCTCAATTACTTCCACTCCTTTACAAACCTATTCCTAACACAGTCTGGACAAAGTAATTGTTTTTTTTTTGGTTGGGCGCTTACACAAGACAAAATTATTGAAAATGAACCTACAAAAACCTGTAGAAGTCGATTAGAAAGTCGACGCCACAGGGATGTTATGTCATGTTGCCGGAGCAACCTTTTCCACTTTGTGTGTCATATGCCTTTGTATGTTCAGTGGCGCAATTTATCTTGGCGGCAAATAGTTTTATCACCACTACTGCCTGATCACAACTTTTCTGTACTCTCGTCACTCATGTGTTGTGTCATGGCAGCGGCTGAAGCATGCTCTTGGCACAGCTCAACCGGGACTCCCAAGGAATGACGGAGTTTCACGACGCAGACGGTCAGCCTGTCACGCTTTGCCTGACCGAAGCAGTGACTGTGGCAGGTGAGTTGAACCAAAGAGCCCAGGTCTGTGTTTTTGTTGTATACTGAAGACATTTGGATTTCAGATCAAAAGATGAATATGAGAAAAAAGTTCAGAATTCCAGCTTTTATTTCATGTCATTTACATCTGGATGTGTTCACCAACTCAGGACAAAGCACATTTTGTTTGAAATGCATCCACTTTTCAACTGAGCAAAAACATTGGAACAGACATAAACTGTGAATATTACAGACACAAGTGAATATTACTTCAGATTAGGTGGCATAACTATTTGCAATAACTGCAGCAAGCCTTCACCAGACTGTTGTATGCATCATTTGAAATGCTTTTCCAGTCCTTAACTGCAGCCTCTTTCAGTTCTTATTGGTTTCTCCCTTCAGTCTCCTCTTCAGGAGGAGAAATGCATGCTCTATTGGATTATGGTCCAGAGATTGACTTGGCTAGACAACACAGGACATATATCTACCTTTTTAGACAGAGCCCAGCAAAGGCGGTCAGATGGCTGGATGATGCTTGCTTGTTTTTCTTACTGTATCAAACTCCTGGTTCGGCATCTTGGAATACCATACACGCCACTACGATTCTGTGTCAGTGCTTGTACAGAACAGCCACGCAGAAGGCACGATGGCTGCGTGAAAGGGGTTCACGTGTTGTGCCACTGCTCACACCCAACACAAAAGTTGTATTCACTCCAGCTTCACAAAGATCGAGTAACACACCAGAACAAAGGCATTGAGCAGAGCACAGACTTTCACCAAGGCTGAATAATAAGCCTTGATGATGATATGTTCCTCCCTTCTAGTTTAGCGTATCGCGTCAGCGATAGCAAAACACAAAAAGCGTTCCTGGGTACCAAGAGACATCCAGCTAACTGCCACCAAACCGTGTTTTGCAGTTAATATATTTATCATTTAATATATTTATCATTTCATTTGTACCTGTGGCTGAAAAAGTGACGTGCGATTAATGACAGTCAAATGAAAGTACATTCAATAATGTGACATGGATGAGTAATACATAAAATGGAGTTTGATAACGTTGCATCCGGGGGCACAACAGTCAGTGTCGAAGGTTTCCTTGTGGGTCTCAAAAGTTGTGTTCCCTCACCAGATGGCGATCAGATGGACACCATGGACACGGTGAGCCTGCAGGCCGTCACGCTTGTGGATGGCTCCACTGCCTACATCCAGCGGGAGGCCAAGCCGGCCTTCTCCGACGGGCAAATCATGAACGGCCAGGTGATCCAGTTGGAGGACGGATCGGCCGCCTACGTCCGGCACGTGTCCATGCCCAAAGCAGGTGCCACCTCAGCGTCGTCGCCAGTTTACACATCACGTATGTTGGGATTTGCTGAGAAATAAAGTGTTGTTGAACATTCCAGGAGGAGACAGTTTGCAGCTGGAAGACGGACAAGCAGTTCAGCTTGAAGATGGAACAACAGCCTTTATACACACACCAAAAGGTAAAGTAAAAAAAAAAAAAAAAAAAAATTAATATGTTGGCATGTACGTAGGTTGGTTGCCATTTGTGTCTTTCTCACTTTAGTTAAAGATCATGTATGAAACTTCCCACAGGTGTGGTTCTTTGTCTGATTTGTTATAGCCAACATCAGAGATTTAAATATATACTCTCTGTTGACTTTTATACTAATGATACGAACCAATGTTAAAAATTTAATGCATTTTAAAAAAGCATTAATTTTTTAAACTAAAGTCTGTACATGGCGGAATAGTTGTTGGAAGTAATGAAAATAAAGTATACAGGTAAAAAACATTTGTATCCGCTTCTGTTGTGAAGCAGAAACGTACGAGCAAGGCAGTCTGCAGGAGGTGCAGCTGGAAGACGGCAGCACGGCCTACATCCAACATACGGTGCATATGCCGCAGCCCAACACCATCCTGGCCATTCAGGCCGACGGCACCATCGCTGACCTGCAGGCTGAGGCCACCGCCATCGACCCCGACACCATCAGCGTGCTGGAGCAATACACCACCAAGGTGAGCAAAGCGATTCCCTTTTGTGTATCTACTCTATCCAGAGCTAAAGTGCAGTGCACACAGACCAATTTTTAACATCTTAACCCATTTTTTTAAATGTGAGAGACCCTACACCAGAGGTGGGCAATTCATTTTGCAAAAGGGGCCCCATGAGAAACTGGAACACTTGCTGGGGGCCAAACCAACATGCTGACCTCCACTTTTGTCCATATTATTTTTGATGCATTTAGAAAAAGCGTATTTGCTGCGCGTATAGATATATGTATTGTTGTTAGGAAATTGTTAGGCGGTCATTAAAGTGACATTTTTACACTTATAAAGAAATGATCACATTAATTTTGTGCATCGGCACAAGCAAATATACATATACGTATTGTTATTAGGAAATTGTTAGGCAGTCATTAAAGTGACATTTTTACACTTGATCACATTAATTTTGTGCATCGGCACAAGCAAATATTAGCCGTTCCTTGTCCGGATTCCAAAATGTGTAGATCAGTGGAAAGTAGGGGGATGGAAAAGTTGCTAAGATGCACCACTGCTGACACAAGTTGTAGTTTATGCTTGCCACCTTGTTTGAACTAGCGTGCACAACTTTCAAAATAAAAGCGCCACATATTGTACTTTGAAGCTTGTGGTCACTGAGGGCCCGACAGAGCGCGTTCCGATTACCATCACAGCACACCTTAAACATTTTTGGCAGTGATTGTAAAGGAAGGAAAAATGTTCAACTTCGGTTAACTCGCAGGCATCGTTTCTGCTCAGGTGGAGAACATCGAGAATCCTTTGGTTCCCTACGGTAGAGTGGAGGCAGACAATGGCGTGCACATGCGGGTATGGAAGAATATCATTCATTTCCAGAGCTTTATCCGTTTTGGGGTTAATGGTGTTTTTTTTCCTTGTCTGCCAGATTGTGCTACAGGGTCAGGAGAACAGGAGGGTGGCCAACGTGGGCGAGAAGTCATACCGCTGCGAGCACGAGGACTGCGGAAAGTTGTACACCACTGCACACCATCTCAAGGTTTGTTCTGTCAATATGTTTACAGCGGTACTGACAAGTGCAGCAATTATGAATGTTTGGAGTTACAAGCTGTCACTCAGTCAATTATTTGTTGTTTTTTTTTTTGTTTTGTTTTGTTTTTTTTGACAGACTTTGTTATCCACAACAAGCCTCATTAATGCATTTGTGTTGACGCAGGTGCACGAACGCTCGCATACTGGAGACAAGCCATACATGTGCGACTATCCGGGATGCGGGAAGAAGTTTGCAACAGGTAGGCTTTCTCGTACAGCTTTAGTATAGACATGCCTTTTTTTTCTTGTCACATTTTGGAGTGCATGCGTCTTAAAAGGTCTGTGACATTTTTCAGTCAAAATACACAAAAAATAGACAAAATAAGTAGAGGCATAACAATTCAAGGTCAAGCCAAGGTGTTGGTCAACGCAAACGCTACTTACTCACGGTTGCCAATTTAGCTAGTTTTCTTGCCCCTCCAGCAACAAATCTAGTCTTTTTTTTTTTTTTTGGGCCATTAATGGACACTTGCTTTAAAAGTGTTTTCTCGTTGACTTCCTGATGACGCAGCATCAGGAGCAACTTGGCATCTTGTGCAATGACACTTCGATATAGGTTGGGAGACAACCACACTGCCACTGAGCCATGCCGCCCCCAATGAATGAAGGGAAAATCACGGAAACTTTTTTTTTTTTCCCCAAGCATGTACAAACCCATTTTACATAAGAGCTAACCATCTTCTATCTCGTATATCCTCACTAGGGTTGCGTGTGAGAAGGAGCCTTTCATAGTCCTTAGTTACCTACGGACAATTATAAAGTTTGTTAAATGTCTCCTTTAAACCTCTTCTGATGAGAAAATACTTAGATTTTTTTTTAATGTGAATTCATAGTCAGTCAAAGTCCTCCTTTGGTCACAAAATAACTAGTGTATGTATTTTTTTTCCTTACCTTTTTTTTTTTCAAGGTTATGGCCTGAAGAGTCACTCCCGCACGCACACTGGCGAGAAGCCCTATCGTTGTCAGGAGCCCAACTGTTGCAAGTCTTTCAAAACTTCGGGAGATCTTCAGAAGCACACCCGTACGCACACAGGTACGCAACCACGACCGTGAACACAGCCAAAACTTTGAAGATTTTTGCAAAAAAATCTGCATTGAGCCATTCAGACTGCGATTAAAAAAAATTCAGATGCGAGTTGCATATGGGCAAAAAAAAAATAAAAAATCCGATCTTGGTTGAATTTGGATTTGCCTGCAGTTATTTGAACAAATGTATGTAACGCACAGGAACCGTGTGACTTTGTTGGTATCGATAGTCATTTTTCTGTCACTGGTAAGCAAGTCCCTGAAATCTCCATTTTTGTGGCGTTGCAGGAGAGAAGCCGTTCAAGTGTCCGGTGGAGGGCTGCGGCAGGTCCTTCACCACCTCCAACATCCGCAAAGTACACATCCGCACTCACACGGGCGAGCGGCCGTATTACTGCTCCGAACCAAACTGCGGCCGCTCGTTCGCCAGCGCCACCAACTACAAGAACCACATGAGGATCCACACCGGTAATTTTCTCTTTAAGTGCAGCGCTATCTTCGAGGCCCATTGCAACCTTGATGTTGCTAGTTCTTGCGCAATATTTTCCATTGAGAATTTTGGGAGTAATTTCTTCCAAAGTAAAGTCTATGATGAGTGGAACAGGCAACGTTTTAGGCCACTACTTCATGTGGACTCCCTCTAGTGGTAGTCAGTGTGAGTTCTTTGCAGTGAATACATGAAACCTGCGTCTCAAATGTATTAGTGCAGTGTTAAGGTTCAAACATCCATGAAACAGTGACTTTCACTTTTTTTTTAATTCTGTGTGTGTGTGTAGATAGGTAAATTTTTCACTTGATGGGCGGGCAGGCGCTCCAGAGATCAAACATCTGTTTGCAAACATTCAAAAGCCCATTTTACATGTCTCCTTTTTGTCGACTTGGACATTAGAGGATGTCTTTGTCTAAGCAACAAACATTTCCATTGAGGACAATAGAAACAAAGCGTTAATATTATCATTCGTGTCGTGTTCAGGGGAGAAGCCGTACGTGTGCACTGTGCCTGGATGTGAGAAACGCTTCACAGAGTACTCGAGCCTCTACAAGCACCACGTGGTCCACACGCCGTGCAAGCCGTACAACTGCAACCACTGCGGAAAGACCTACAAGCAGATCTCCACGCTGGCTATGCATAAACGCACTGCCCACAATGACACGGAGCCCATCGAGGAGGAGCAGGAGGCCTACTTTGAGCCGCCCACGGGTAAGTGGAATGTCTTGCATGTCAATGTAGGAATTGGATTTTGCAGCAGGAGGAAGTGCTATACTCCTTCGTCCCTCCCCCCCATACTATGACCCCCCCAAGAACTTCGTTACAGGATTACGCTTAAAATCACATTAAAGGTCTTTGTCATGTTTCCAGACGCCATCGACGACCCCAGTGTGATCTACCCGACGACTGCGGCGGTGTTGGAGGAAGACGACACGGGCTCCAAGCACATTCCTGTGGAGAACGCCGACGTGGTTGCCCAGCAGCACGTCGCAGTGGTGACACAGCCAGACGGGACTCAACAGCAGGTATAATTTGTCCTTGAAGCTGGATATATACACTCACTCACACACACTCACAGATTTTGATCAGTTATTGTTGTGTTCTCGCTCTGCCCTCCCAGGTGAGCATCTCTGAAGCGGACTTACAAGCCATGGGCGGCACCATCACCATGGTGACCCAAGAAGGCACCACCATAACCATCCCGGCCCACGAATTGGCCACGCAGGGTGCTCAGGTAAAAACAAAAACATAATGACGTAATGTAGAACAGCAAGTTGTGCAAATAATACTGAAACATTGAACAGTTTGACATGTGCATTAAAAAGTTGAGAGAAGGTCAAATTAAGTTCACCCGTAAAGGTCATAGTGCATAATAGGTTCATCCTGAAATTTCACGTGGAACCCCAATATCCTAAACTTCTTGTGAGTACAATACATACTCTTAACTCATTCCAAAGTTAGCATAGTTACCAATGAATCTGCAAATAAATATGCATCTGTGTTCCAGTTCCCTAAAGTGAACTGAGATAAAAATAAATGCATTGCTGTACTCAAAATTGAGTACGGCCAAAGTTCATTGAACACATTCGGGTTTATCTCTATAAATGCAGTATTGATACGCAAGAACCAAAAGGGCTTACTACTCTTAATGATATTTTTAACCTTTTCATATGGTGTGAATGTCAAAGTGTCTTCTCTCAAGTGAATGTTTTTTTCTTACATATTATATTACTGGCACTTAGTGCCATACTTAAAACTATTTGTCATTGTTTTATATTTACGTCCTATAAATATTTTTTTTTTTGCAAACATATTTACGATAATGATGACTTTACTACTGTGTTAGCATAGGTTAACGATATAAACGTCTTCTCTCATTGAACCATTAGGTCATTCATTGATTAATTATAGTAGGTCATAAATAAAAGCAAAATTACTGAAATAAAAAAAATGTTAGTTCATTAGATAATTGGTTAAAATGAACTATTTGATTTTTTTTTTTTTTTTTTTTTTGGTCTGGACTTGGTAAACTTGCCCACCCCTGATTTTGAGTGTATGTTTGACCCCCCAGGTGGCCATCATGACACCCGGCATGACTTCCTTTGAAAGTGTAGAGGAGGCCACTTACAGCCATGAGCAAGAAGAGATTCACCCAGTCACCTTACTGGCCACCTCCAATGGCACTCACATTGCTGTGCAGGTTGGTACTTAATGAAATACTGATCAATGTCATCTCAAAGCGGGAGTGCAAAAACTGATTTTAATAGATCAAGATTGTGACCTGGGCACTTTTTATTTGTATTTATTCAACGGCAGATGATGCCCACTAAATCTCTACACCTTAATCAATTTGAGAGACAATTTATGTGGCTTGCTGGTTGCTGCCCTTTTGGTTCACAACAGCGAATCTGGGGACAAAAATGTGCTGTATTTCCAGATCAAAGTGGAATTGACAGCCATACTGAAGTTGAGGGTTTATTTTCAAATACTTTCACTGCAATATGGAACAAATTATTATTTTTAATGAAGATCGCTTGAGCACGGTAGATTTATGAAATATAACCCAACCATTTAAACATCGTTTTTATTATACAGTAAGTTGTGGACATTTGTCGGTGAAAGTTTTAGATTACCTGTTCCCCTGAGGTTTTGTTTGTTTTTATAGGCTCTTAGGAAGTGATAAACTGAGAGCCCATAAACTTTTGTTAAACATTTTCAAACTGAGCTACCACTGTTTTTTTAAGTATGATATAAGTAATGTTGTCATTTTTCATTATTGATATTGACATGTTTTGGGAAAAGAGTTCTCAAAATAACTGAGGGGCTTCGGTCACCTCGGAGGTTAGGAGTTTGTTGCTCAGCCTTTTGTTTAGCCTGGACAAAACCCAGTTTCCACTTTGTGTCATGTTAATTACAAAGCAAACACGACTCGGCCATCCCTGGCATTCTCTGACATTTAACAGAAAATCACAACAAACGACAAAGTGAGTTTCTGTCGAAATAGGAAGTCCGTTGGCAAAGATTCACGCCACTCTGAGTGCTGTGTGACGATAAGGAAGATTTAAAGTACAAAACGTGTAAGGTTGAATTAATTCATATGAATTAGTGGAAATTTTGATGGCATGATAATGTCTGTTTAGATTTTTGAATGCTGTGAATACACGAAATTATGACTGTGGAATTGACATGAAAGGTCATGGTTTTTTTTCATGGATTGTTAGAATAAAATGTTTTTTGTGACAAGTTAGAAATATTAGCCCATGTAAAAAGAAACCTGGATGAATAATGATAGAATGTTTTCCTTATGAATCTTTTTTTTTTTTTAATCTGCGCAGCTAAGCGATCAGCCGTCGTTGGAGGAAGCCATCCGAATAGCCTCGAGAATTCAGCAAGGGGAATCGCCCGGCCTGGACGATTGATATCGGATGGGATTCAGTCCCAAGTCGGACAAAAAAAACAAAAAAGCAAACGCGAACTCGCAGGTCTTCCTTCAGAGTTGTCCTACCCTCCGCCGCTACATGCAAAAGAACTTTGTTTTTAAGTGTACATAGGATTTTGATAACTGGACTATTTTGTCTCTCAACCAAACAGATTATGGGGTGTGGGTATGCTTTCTAATGATCATGCACAGTGCAGGGTACATCTAATGCTATTTGTAATTAAAAAAGAAAAAAAATAATAAAATCATGAAGCATCGTACTTATTGACTAAATACATATTCTCACAAAATTTGACTACAATCACTTAAATCAGTGATCGCCACTGTTGAATCATGCAGTCAAGGATTTAAATGAGTCCTTGGTTTACAACGAGTGGACAAGGTATGCACATCACGGCGAGCGATTCGACTTTTGGAGCCATATCATCGCAGATGGAAAGAAAACGATAGAAATGCAAGCACAACTTCCACCGGCAATTAAAACGGCCTTCATGTCAAATTCCATTAGTATTCTTAATGGTGTCTTCATTCTGACTGGTGAGTCATTATTATTGCCGACCAAAGAGAGACCACTGGCATTTTGTGCCATTGCATTTACGATTAGTTTTTTTCAAAGACATTTTGAACATGTAACCATGTAGTTACGTTTAGAAATATACTAAGCTCATGATTTTTCAGAGGCCATTTTGGAAGAATAATACATCTGATTTATTATTCTGACCTCCTGAGAGGCGCTGGCTGGTTTTTAGTATCAGGTCTCGCATTGGAGTGGAGCTCTTGTTATTGTTATAGTGTTTTTATTTTTATATTACCAGATTGTTCTTTAAAATAATTTATAACAATTTACATATGTAATACAATATAACAATGCATGAGAGTTATAATAGATGACGTCAAGTAAAAGGATTCATACGTTAATATAAATTCATTTGCGATATCTTGAATGAATTTTTAATTACATTTAAAAAAAAATGTGGAACATCAAATCTAAGGAAGCTCAATGGCAACTACCTTTAAAAGCAGTTATCTATTTCGTCACCTTTGAAGTTGTGATGAAAGGTTGGTGACATATTGTTTACTTATAAACAATTCCCCACAATAAGTTTGCTACTTTAGACGTCACGCCCTCCAACTCTTTCATCTCGAACGCCCATTTTTTTCAGATTTCGCAGGCGCGCTCTGATTGGCTGCACAGCACCACGTGACTAACGGTCGCGGGAAGTACGTTGACTCGCGCGTGACACGAATCGGTGGACTTATATTATTGAGGCTTTTTTTTCCACGTTTTTGTTTTTTTTTTTAAGCTGCCTGCTGGTTATTTGTGACCTGTTTCACAGCGAGCTGAGCTGCTTGAACAGAGGGCGATACCCAACTCGTGCGGGTACTTTATTTTATTTTTTGCGTGTCATTAGGACGACCAACTTCTTCAACGTGGTGGGCTGGAGTTTAAAAAAAAAAAAAGCCTTTTCAGGGCTAACGGACTTTTCCGTGGACGACTGGAATACCTTCATTCAAGGTAGTTTATTGGGGGGGTGTTTTGTGAGGGGAAAATAGAACTAGTTCTTGTTTAATTTTCAACGACCAAGTTTTTACCTAGAGTAAAAACCACTTGGCTAGGATGTCGAGCTACAGCCGCCATTGGCAGGGCTCCCCCTCGCCCAAATCTCGTCCCGTTCGCCCGCGCCTCC